GAACACACAGTATGGAAAGGACAGTCTCTTTAATAAATGGTGTTGGGAACACTGTACAGACACATGCAAAAGAATGAAACTAGACTACTATCTTACACCATATACAAATTTAACTCAAAATGAATTAAAAACTTGAATGTAAGACCTGAAACCATAAAACCCCTGGAAAGAAAACTGGGCAGTAAGAAACTTGACATTGGTCTTGGTGATAATATTTTGGATCTGACTCCAAAAACAAAAGTAAACAAGTGAGATCAAACTGAAATCAGCTTCTGCATAACAAAGGAAATCATCAACAAAATGAAAAGACAATGCATCGAATGTGAGAGCAGTGCATTCTGACTGGATATCTGATTAACGAATTTACAAATCCTATATCCAATCAGGGGTTAATATTCAAAATACAGACAGAACTACAATACAATAAACAAAAACAAAAAACAAAGCAATCTGATTTAGAAATTGGCAGAAGGTCTGAATAGACATTTTCCAAAGGAAACATTCATGTGGCCAACAGATGCGTAAAAAAATGTCCAATATGACCAATCATCAGGGAAATGGAAATCAAAACCGCCAAAACGTGTCACCTCATATCTGTTAGAATGAATCAAAAAAAAAAAAAAGAAAGAAAAAAGAAACAAAGAAAGAAATAACAAGTGTTGGTGAGATTATCAAGAAAAGGGAACCCTTATGCATAGTTGGTATGGATGTGAATTGTGTAGCCACTATGGAAAACTGTATGGAAGGTCCCAAAAAAAGTAAAAAAAGAAGTATCATATGATCCAGCAATCCATCTTCTGGGTATTTATCTGAAGAAAATGAAAACATTACTTCAAAAAATATATAGGCACCCCGTGTTTATTGCAGCATTATTTACAATAGCCAAGATATGGAAGCAACCTAAGTGTCCAGGATAGGTGGATGAAGAAGATGTGTAGGTACACACACATACAACACTCACCCTCACATACAATAAAATACTACTCAGCCACATAAAAGAAGGGATTCTTGCCATTTGCACAACATGATTAGTCCTTGAGGGCACTAAGCTAAGTAAAATAAGTCAGGCACAGAAAGAAGACAAATGCCATATGCTCTCACTTATATATAGAATGGAAAAACAAAACAAACAACAGCAACTACTAAAACCAAACAGAGATCCAGAGAACAGATTGGTGGTTGTCAGAGGTTGAGAAGCAGTGGAAGGTGGGAAAAAGGGACGAAGGGGGTCAAAAAGTACAGACTTATAGTCATGAAATAAGTCATGAGGGTATAATGTACAGCACGGTGACTGTAGTTAATAATACTGTATTGCATATTTGAAAGTTGCTAAGTGAGTAAATCTTAGATTGTCTCATCGCAAGAGAATAAAAAAACACTTTGTAATTATGTATTATGATAGATGATAACTAGGCTTCTTGTGGTGATTATATTTGCATTTGTGTATACAAATATTGAACCATTATGTTGTACACCTGAAACTAATATATGTCAAATATAAAAATAAATAAAGGATGGAAAGATTACGAAATAAATGTTAGAGCAGAACTGACTATCCTAAGAAGAAAAAAAGGTGGAGGTGGGCAGTGGGACTTGGGGTCCGAAAAATTTGGTTCTGGTCCCAGAGCTGTCATTTCTAACAGTGAAACCCTGAGCAAGCACTTTCCCTCTCTTTATACCATTTTATCGTATATTTAAATGAAGTTGGTAACAACCCACTTTGCCACATTGTCCTGAGGGCTAGATGAAGCGATGAAGGTGAAACATTCCATAAACAGTAAAGTGCTTTCCAACTCAAGATTTTTCTCAAAAAACTTATTTCAGAGGTAGAGCTATCAACTAAAGAAGAACAAAGGGTTAGAAGTTCACCCACTCAGAGCCAGCTTTTGTTGAGAAAACTGTGCAAACCCTCCTTTTGGATGAGAGTGAAGCCCATGACTCTGAAAGGAGGGGGTGCTTTATGCCTGGTGAAGTGTCTTGTGAACACGTGTCTCACGTCTTATAGACTCAACGGCGGGGGGCGGGGGGGGTAGTGTTTTTGTTCCTGGTGTAGCAGTTTGTGTACAATGGTAGGAGAAGCCAAGGTGGAAAAGGGGAAAAGGTGAACTTGCTAAAGGAAACTGAGAGAAATACAGATGTGGTCCCCACTGAGTTTAGAAAAACACTCTCAGAGCTTTCTTAATCCCCAGCCCAGGGATTCAGTGGAAAGAACTGTCACAGAAATTTGGCCTCGTCGGGTCTACAACCCAGATTTGTGTGACATTGTTTTTTACTTACTGCTCTTCAGTGCCCGGCAGCCCCGTATAAACAAGACTCAACTCTTCTGCACCTCTCGTTCCCTTTTACTCTCTGTGCTGTGAAAGATACAGAGCAAACCTGTGGGAAAAAAAATCAAAATTATAGACAGCTATTACCAAAAAAAGAAAAAAAAATCTGTCCGATCCATTTATATATTCTTTTTTTACTTTTATCCATGTTTTATAATTTGAGTAAAAAAAAAAATTTCCTTACATTTGGAAAGTAGATATGGCTTATTGTCAAGCTCTGATGGTTTAATTGAAGTACACACATGCATTTAAAGGGAATATATTTCAGTAAACAACTTTTGCCTCATTAGTCTTTGAGTTCCCTGGAACTTTCTCTATATTTTAAGTGTATCATTTTATTTGTATTTGAAAAGGCATTAACAAATTGAACAGAAAAGTTTATTCATATGGAAAATGTCTTCCCTTATTAGATTTTGGGGAATTCTTCAATATGACAGGGAGTGAATCTATGTGACATTCTTCATTTGTGAAGGAAAAATGAATTCTATCTTCCCTGCAAAACTTCGCCTTTTTCATATGCTGTGCTTTTTAACTATTTAACAGACACCATTTGTTTCACTTGTTTTGGGAATCAAAGCAGTCTTCCGAATTCTATAATAAAGATGACTTACCCATGTTCCTTCTAGTCCACTCAGTTTATACAGAGACGACTCTTGGTTATGTGTAATAATGGAGTAAATTTTATTTTTATATTTTTATTGTGGTTAAATATGTAATAAAATCTAAATAATGAAATAAAAATATAATAAATAATAAAACAAATAATAAAATATATGTGCTATGAAATTTGCCATTCTATTTCTACAAAAGTTTGGCTTCGGTTAGCATGTTTCTCCTTCAAAACCATGTTTTTCTTCTCTTCCAGAACTGCTGGAACATGACAGAATAAAGATTTGATTTTGATTTTTCTTTTTCTGAATCTGATAGAGGCAACTGACCATGTAGGGGTGAAAAATGGACCACCAAAGAGTTTGGAACAGAAGCTACAGGCCTGACTAAGCTAAAGGCCAGCTCCAGAATCAATAAACAAATATGCTTCTAGTATGTTAAATACAGAAAATACATATACACATAAGACATAGTCCTGATCTCAAATAGATGTTTATGTAGGTGAAGAATTGTAATACATGCGCATGAAAAATAATGATAGAAGAAAGTAAGAGTGTATAGGGTAGTAAAGAGCATAGGTGCTGTGGACACAAGGAAGGGAGAGAACAATGAAGGTGGTGGGGAAGTTCTAGAGAGATGGCTCAAAGCCAAACCTGGCAGCATCTCCAGACTTTAAGTAGATCACAGAGAGCTTGTTAGGCAGGAGGAAGAGCATGGTCACGGGCACACAGGCAGGATTTAGAGGATCTTGACTTATTTTCAAATTGTGGTCTACTGTTTCCTTCATAATCCTCAGGAGAGATTTTCCCCCATGTGTTAGAGGTGGAGACAGTCCATCTCTCCTATCACTTGCGGTGAATGTGCCCCATGCGGTGGTTAGCATTTCCTCCCGGGTAGTCCATGGTTCAGAGTCATCATTCGGTCTTAGCTTCCCTTCTTCCCATGTAAGAATGTGGGTCCCTGGGGCTCCTGGATGGCTCAGTGGGTTAAAGCCTCTGCCTTTGGCTCAGGTCATGATCTCAGGGTTCTGGGATCGAGCCGCACATCAGGCTCTCTGCTCAGTGGGGAGCCTGTTTCCTCCTCTCTCTCTCTGCCTGCCTCTCTGCCTGCTTGTGATCTCTCTCTTTCTGTGTCAAATAAATAAATAAAAAATCTTAAAAAAAAAAAAAAAGAATGTGGGTCCCTCCTAGTCAGGTACTGAGTTGTTTTTTGGTTTTCATCACAGAACATCCATTCCACATGCAAAGTGCTCACATTAGTAGCAACCATAACCGTAATAGCATGACATGCTAAAAGAAGAAGTAGCAGAAGCAACAAAACAACAAAAAGACATTAGCATGGGAGAGTCAGTATTGTCAGGGGGATTCGAGTCTGCGTGCTTCTGAGCGGTTCCAGGAATGAGTTTTTGCTGAACCATCTATTCCGAGTCGTCCAGCCCTTCTTTCTACACTGATTCCCATTTGTGAATGAGCTGGTTTTCTGCCATAATAAATAAAGTAGGTGGCTTAGCCTGTTTTTATCTGTGAAAACCTAACTGGATAAATAAAAACAAAACATTTAACCTTATTCTCATCAGCTCCATGGCCTAATGAAGTTGAAATTACAGGTCCTTGTACAAAAATCACTTACGTTCCTTTAAAAGCATAGACAAGTGATTGAAGAGATGAAACGATTCTGAATAGGCACTAATGATCTTACTCATCATTACTCGAGTTCTAATACATTTGGTAGTATTACTGGGTCATAGATCTTCATATCTGCACAAGAAGCTGACTGGTTTAGTGAAAATTATTCAAGCAATAGAGACACATCCAGGATTGAAAACTGCTGTTACCTTCTGGTTTTTATGACAAATTACTTAGATGCCTCTGATCCTTAGTTTTCTTGTCTGTAATGAGAGTTAATAATAGAACCTACTTCATGGGGTTGTAATGAGGATGGAATTAATTTATATATAAAGTCCAAGTTCGTACTTAGTAACTGACAGCTATTACTAATTATTTTTTTTCTCATAGTAATTAAGAAACACCTCCTTAAAAGTCATTCCCTTTGTGCCTTTTATAGCATGAGAAGCTGATGCATGAATTGGAAGAGGAGAGACACTTACGTCTTCAGAGTGAGAAGCGGTTGCAGGAGGTGACACTGGAGTCTGAGCGCAACAGAATTCAGATGCGTGGCCTCCAGCAGCAGTTCTCCAGGTATTGTTCTGAACTGAGCTGCTTGATTCAGGATGGGTATCCCTTCCTGCACCCAAAGCCCCCACCTTGAATTTCCCTTGTGAAAGCATCTGTTGAATTTGAGGAGCTAATTTACCTACAGCTTAGACCTTCTCCTCTGGCCACATCATCATATGGCATCTGGGCCAGTTTGTTGAAAACTTGCTCTTTGCACCTAGCAGAGTCTTGGCTTTATTGGATCTGGTTATCTTTTCTTCCTTGATGGGTTTCCAAGGGATTTTTCCAGGAAGATGTGGTGGCTGTGTGGCTTATAAGAATGTCCCTTGAAAGGCCAACCGGGAGGATGAAATTTTACCAGTCATCATAATTCTATTTTAAGGGAGACAGAGAATGTGAATCTAATCATTCAGTAAGCTCTTACTCAGTACTTAAAGTAAACTTTTACCGATAGTTTAAAAAAAAATCAAAATCAATGAGTTTTTCCTTTAAAAAGACTTAACTTGAGTTTGAAATTAGCATTCTGAAAAGTAGCTTTTATATTTAATTCCCACACAGAATCTTTCAGCTTCCAGTTACAGTTACTGTGGGGCCAGGTGAAGGTTCAACCTATTATTTAAATATAACTTACTTATTTAACCTATCTGTGCTATTCCAGTCCTGGAACCAGATATGAGAATTCTGTGAAGGACAATTTACTTTTTTTTTTTTTTTTTTAAGATTTTATTTATTTGACAGAGAGAGACATAGCGAGAGAGGGAGCACAAGCAGGGAGAGTGGGAGAGGGAGAAGCAGGCTTCCTACAAGCAGGGAGCCCAATGTGGGGCTCGAACCCAGGACCCTGGGATCATGACCTGAGCTGAAAGCAGATGCTTAATGACTGAGCCACCCAGGCGCGCCAAGGACAATTTACTTTCATTTATGTATTTCACTCTACCATTTCCCAAATCAGGAAGTTAATTTTGGGGGTTTTTGTTTTTTTCTCCCTCATGAGGTTGTCTCAGGCTGAATCAAATTTGAGAAGTTGCCCTAAAATTTTTCTGAGCAATCAATCAAGAGTGTATCTTGACTTCAGTTTACCATTGGGATTTGGATATAATCAATGATGGATAATATGGCTTCCTCATTATAAACCTTTTATAATGATAGCTTAAGTTTTGGATGTGTCGCACAGAGAAACTGAAATTGAGCCTCCAGATGTCTTACCTCTTTGTGACTAATACCATCAGTGCTTGTGACTTTGGTTTGGAGGCTTCTTGGAGGAACAGGGTAGAAAGGATGGATGATCCCCTGTGTTCAGAGTCCTAATTTAACACCCTGTTCCACTCTCTGAGCCCATAATACACAGGTGCTATAGAAATGCACCAATCAATACTTTAAACAAATGCAGGCTATTACTTATACAACCTTGTACTTGATTTTTCATTTGGTTTGATGGTAACTCTCACTTTATGTCTCCCAACTTGAAATAATAGACCCCCCCACACACATGCTTTTGAAGCAGCTCTAAAACAAGCCCTGCTTTGTCATACTTGCCATTTTAAGAATATAGGAAAGGAGGAGGTAGATCGCCCTACCCTTGTGTTACATAATTTGAGATGTCTCTGTATTCAAGCTATTGATTTACTGGGTGTGAGACACATGGCACAGTAAATTATTTTCATATGATGTCAGGTCATCTGCTGTAAATCAATGACACCCATACAGAGTTGTGTTGCACAAGAGTCAAGGCTGCATCCTAGACTGAATGAGAAGATAATTATATGTAGAACAAATAGTATTTGGTTTTATATACTGCATTTCCCCCTGCTATCATCAGTTTCCTGATGTAAAGCTTCACCGGAGCTGAAGAGTTCAAGTCCAGTTATAGCCAGACAACTAATGCAAATTAGCAAAGGTAGATGAAAAAGCATATATCACAGATAAGATAATTACACAAAGGAAGAGAGGGAAATAAACCAGTAGAGTCTCTTAATGATAGAGAACAAACTGAGTGTTGGCGGAGGGAGGTGGATGAGGGGTGGACTAGATGGGGGGGATGGGTATTAAGAAGGGTACTTTTTGTGATGAGTGCTGGGTGTGTATGTAAGTGATGAATTTCTGGATTCTACTCCAAAAACCAATATTGCACTGTATGTTAACTAAATAAAATTAAAAAAAAAAAGAAAAGAAAAAAATGAGCAAAGGGGGGAAAAGAAAGAGAGAGAGGCAAACCAAGAAACAGACTCTAAATTATAGAGAACAGGGGCGCCTGGGTGGCTCAGTGGGTTAAAACCTCTGCCTTCAGCTCAGGTCATGGTCCCGGGGTCCTGGGATCGAGCCCCATATCGGGCTCTCTGCTCAGCAAGGAGCCTGCTTCCTCCTCTCTGCCTGCCTCTCTGCCTACTTGTGATCTCTGTCAAATAAATAAGTAAAATATTTTAAAAAAAATAAAAAAAATAAATTACAGAGAACAAACTGATGGTTACCAGAGGGGAGGTGGGTGGGGGGATGGGTGAAATAGATGATGGGGATTAAGGAGGGCATCTGTTGTGAGGAGCCCTGGGTGATGTATGGAAGTGTGGAATCACTGTATTGTACACCAGAGACTAATATTACCCTGGATGCTAACTAACTGGAATTTAAATAAAAACTTTTAAAAGGAGATAATTACACAATAGTTTAAGTAGGCCCACTACACCATTTTTGATGGCCTTTTGCATTTTAAACTTTGGTTTGTAAGATACTTCTAGTTCTATTTTATTTAAACAATCCTGTTACTATAATTTAAGTCTTTATAGAATTCTCCTTATTATAGAACATGTATATAGCTCATCACCCTTGGACATGGTCCACCTCTAAATGCTCATATAAATAATTTCCATATTCCAAATAATTGTATTGAATTTAAAATGTTTACCTTCATAATTTTCTCCTTTTCCCTGGGTCAACAAATTCATTTTGTACATGATGCTCCCTGACATTTAGGGTTACTTTGAGTATTGTTTATGGAATGAGTTTACTTTGAAAACTAATGCTAGCAGCCCACATTTTCAAAGGATGTGAAAGTGGATTACAATAAAAGGTAGCTTCACAATACAACTAATAAAATGAAAAATAGAAAACAAAAGCCACAAAAGGGTAGGTAGTATGGCAAGTAATCATACTTACACAGACTGTCGTGTTTTCTGAGAGTGAGCATGTTACTTAGTTCTAAGATTCCTGGCAGAGAAGATTAAAAGGAACATACAAGAGCTTATGTAATTGTTATCTCCTAGACAAAGGCTACTACTCCTCAGGGAGAGAAACATTGTCTCTGGTAACAAACTCATTCTAGAACATATCCATTGACCCCTTCAGAGATGGCCCTGAAGGATATCATAGACAATTGTCCAAAATGGTGTACAGTAGCATTAATTCATAGGTAATGGTACTTCTACAAGGTCACGTACATCTACAAAGTTAAGGGATTTCTGAATGTCACAGTGCTGGTCTGATGAACCTGGAGCATAGAGGCATGAGATGCTGAGGCATAGACAGAGCTGTAAGAAATATTTTCCTGGTGTAGTTGATGGTGGTGTCGCCATGCAGGCATCTAAATGGGAGTGAAGGAGATTCTAGAGTCTCAGGTCCAGGGAAAAGGTAAGATTTGGAGGGGAAAGTGGATAACAAAGTTAGAAATGGGAATAATTAGGTGTATGTGCAAAGTAGAGTTCAGTTGTCAGAATGAGTGCCGCAAGGGAAATTAGTCCAAGGCTTGATTTTATGCAGTTTCAGTGAGGTGACACACTTGGTGGCTTAAAGGCATCGGGCAAACTTGAATATTGTGATTATCTGTGGTGATGAGTAAGGGGTCACTTAGGTGATAAAAATCTATAAAAATGTTTGAGTGAGTAGTTCTCTTTTATGTCACCACCAAACCTTCATTTATAATCTTCCTTTCCCTCTTAACCTCTGATTAGGGTGTAATGATCAGCAGTGGTTCAAAATTTGGGCAAAAGAGAGAGAGAGAGATGTAACCAGAGATTGCATCATCAGCTCTAAGCTCATAAATCAGAAATTGCCTGCACTGAGGGTGATTCAGGCAGCCATAACAAGCCCAGTTCAGACCATTTACAACCTTTCATCTAAATACAGTGAAGAGAAAAGATATTTTCAAATTAAGCCTTCCCCATACATGAAGGAGCATTTCAGTAGGGTGGTACTGGGAGGCAAGCAAAAGTGTCAGTAGGGTTTCTTTGTCTTGATATTTGTTGATATAAATCGAAGTTGCTTTCCAGATGTCATAATGATATTTTAACCTGTTGTCTGAGTGATATACATGGCTGGGCATAGTTTAGGTGGGAATAGCTTTGTGCCCCACCCTTCTATGATTCTGTCTCTATACTCCCTTTAACTGTTCATTTGAACTATGCATGTCTAACCAGCCAGGGTTAATGATGTGAGTGTGGCTATGTCACTGCCTTCCATCCTATGTAAAGATGAGTGTTGGCACCCCCAATGTCATTACTTTGAGTGAATGAGGTTGTTTGTGCATCAGTTAGGTTCACCTAGACAAGTAGTTCAGGAACACTCTCTCCAACCAGGTGGGCTCTATTGAGGTAGAATAACAATGATTAAGAAAAGGGGCACCTGGGTGGCTCAGTTGATTAAGCTTCCGCCATCAGATCAGGTCATGATCTCAGAGTCCTGGGATCAAGTTCCACTTCGGGCTTCTTGCTCATCAGGGAGCCTGATTCTCCCTCTGCCTGCTGCTCCCCCCTGCTTGTGCTGTCTTTCTCTCTCTCTCTCTGTCAAACAAATAAATAAAATATTAAAAAAAAAAAAACGAAACAATGGGGGCACCTGGGTGGCTCAGTGGGTTAAGGCCTCTGCCTTCGGCTTGGTTCATGATCCCAGGGTCCTCTCTCTCTCTCTCTGCCTGCCTCTCTGCCTGCTTTGTGGTCTCTGTCAAAATAAATAAATAAAATCTTAAAAAAACAAAACAAAACAAAAAAAACAATGATTAAGAAGAACCAGTTTTGTGAAGAAATAAGCAATACAGA